ATGATGGGCTCAAGTATAGCAGGGATTGTGGGGCTGGCGCAGGATCGGGCAGTGTTTTGTTCTGCTGTGCATGGGGTCGCTATGAGTCAGAAACGACTCGACGGCACTTAACAACAACAACAACAGATACATGAACTTCAATAATAAATAATTGTCATTTTAAGTCACTGACCCTTAGGGTAATTTATACTCAGCAATAGCTAAAACAATACACCTAACATTTTTAATAAAGGCCACGTTCAATAGAAACCATTCTAAAATGTATCTGATATGTATCTGCCTTCTTAAGCAAAATAAAGTAAACACAATTCAGTTCATGCCCATCATGATGAAAAGCAGTGACTGTGCTGTAAGCCGATGGCCTCAGGGGTTGCATACAGATGGAGGCTCGAGAAATAACTCCAGTCTCTTATGCTCTTTGAAATCTCAGATATAGTTCCTAGTTCTTTATAATTTGTTTTGTATTCAACTTTATTAGCTGTAATTTTTTTTGTGCTGTTGTCATTGTGTCTGTCTTAACTCGCTCTTTTCCAACCTTATGTGCTGCACCTAATTCACCCCTTCAAAAAACCTGTCTAACCCTGTTAAAAGGGTTAGATTGGAATCTGAAGTAAGAGTTAATAGGCTTAGAGTAAGGACAGGCCTGAAATTGTTTTTCTGACTACTAAATATATGTGCTTTAGTACTTTGGGTTTTCTATCCTCGATTTTGGCCACTTTGATGCTTTTTGCTCTTTTCTGGTTCTCCTCTGGGAGCCAGCAGTGGAGGTTGCCAGGTAGGCATCATCTGACCCAGATAGGTGGCACTGTCTTCCTCCACTGTTAGGATACAGTCTTGCTGAGGAGAGAAGGGATGACTCAGCTAAGAAGGTAAGTACCTGCCGGAAGCTGATCAGTATCCACCAGATCCCTTTCTCCATCATAACCCCTCTCTGCACGTTGTCTTGTGTCAGAACAGTGGGAGGCCCTGGGTTCCCCCAGAGTGGAAGTGGCATCCTACTTGTTTCTGTGTCCTCTGTAGCACTTAGCACAGTGCGAGGCACACAGTGACACTCATTAAGATTGTCCTGGTGGCCCATGTTTATGTGTGCACAGGCTTGTCTTACTCAGAAGAGTAAGAATCTACAAGCTTCTGAAATATTTTGCATCAAATTGTTGGAAAACATTTTCAAAGGAGTAAAACTGTCCTGTGTTGAGAAACAGTTCCCATTTCAAGGTATAAATTTATTTTTAACTGTGCTATCATGCCATTAAATGAGAAGGACAAAGCAGGTATTTTTGCAAACTTTTGAGCTGCTATCTTACAGGTTCTCACCCCTTCTCCTTCACTCTCTACACTCTGAGCCCCAAGGCTGACCCCATGAACTGCATCAAGGGACTTCCTTGCCCACTGGCTTTGTCTTGGGTTTGGCCAATGGGACATATTGACAACTGGATATGGAAGGAGAAAGTTTGCATATTTCTTCTCTATTTTCTCCCTGTTTTGAGTCCCCTGTGGCCAAAGCTTGTACTCTGTGGCCCCTCATCCAAGGCTCCACATCCCCCTGGGATGCATTTTCCCTAGTCCTTCCCCTTGCCTTTCAAGCATAGGGAGTAGGGAAGGCTTCTCATGGTTCCAAATCTCTAAAACCAAACTCCCTGCTGTTGAGATGATTCGACTCATAGCGACCCCTCCTTGGGCTTCCAAGGTGGTATTACTACAGAAGCAAATTGCCCAATCTTCCTTCCAAAGAGTGGTTGGTGGGTTTGAACCGCCAGCCTTCTGGTTAGCAGTCAAATGTCTTAGGCATTACACCACCTGTAGGAGCCTCAATATTCCTTGTTGGTTCCCTTAACCCCACCCACAACTCTGAAAGTGGTCTGTATTAAAGTCTTTTCATCTGAGCCATCTGAGTTGTTTCTCTCCGCACACCATTGTTACTCTGACTACTACAATCAGCAAAAAAAATGTTACCTAAGAGATGCTAAGCCATGTGCCAGGGCTACACATTTCTCTCCAGGGAAAGGCATTCAAAGAAAATCAGAGGCTCTTTTGTCTCTAGCTTTCAGAATTCATGAATAGCAATATTTGGCTCTGGTAGCATAGTGCCTAAGGCACTTGACTGCAAACCAGAAGGCTGGCGGTTCAAACCCACCAGCCACTCCTCAAAAGGAAGATGGGGCAATCTACTTCCGTAGTGATACTGCCTCAGAAACCCAAGGAGGGGTCGCTATGAGTTGGGTCTGACTCCACGGTACATAACAACAACAACAAATGAACTGATATAAATGATGGTAAACCCCAATCTAAAAATGAGAAAAGTATTTATTCCTTCATTCACCCACTCATTCACCAAATATCCATTGAGAACCTACTATGTGCCAGGCACTATTCTGACCCTGAAGAAACATAATAATGTATAAGACAGACACAATCCATCCCTGCCTACATGGTGCATACAGTCTAACCTTGACTGTCTCCCAGAAGTCAGAAAGCTCATCAGAGCCCAGCCAGAAGACAGAGTTTTCTTAAGTCTAAGCCATCAGCAGATTGTCAAATGGATGTAGCATCCAAACAAGGTTAAGAACTACCAAATTAACTATGAAGTTTACCCCTCAAATAGGGGAATAATAACCAACCTGCTTCCAGAAGAAGCATGGCACCCTCAATTTGAATTTGGCAGCATAATTTTGAGAGCTCACTGTCATGGCACAATTACCCACCTTTCCTGCCCACCCACCACCCCCAATATCCTCTACAGATTCTCCTCTGTCCTTCCTCAGTTCTTCATACTTTATAATTAGCCCAGGTCCTCCTCTGAGTCACTCCCTCAGAGCCCCTGGAGGTTGGGAGCCGCAAAATGTCAATGTGCTGTTTTTATGAATGGAGAGTGGCTGAGGCTGGATTCAGAGATATGCCTCTTGAAGGGCCTGGTGTTTCTGGCCCTCTTTGTCTTTCTAGCAAAGGCAGTGATGGTGAATTTCTGCCTCAACTGGAATAACTTATGACATTCAGTTTGGAGGACTTGACTAAAATTGCCTTTGCTGGGGAGACCCAGGGGTGGCTGAGGTGGATTGGGGGTGGAGGGTGCCAGTATATGAGGAAATAGTCCTCCAGAAACATCTGAGTTTCCTCAGAAAGGTATAAACAGGCCCTATCAGTAACCCAATACTTCCCTTGCTCCGGATCAGGCAGGACAAGGGCACTAGGCTGGTGCCCTCAGACAAGGTTGGCAGGCTGGCAGAAGCCCCTTCCCTGACTCTCCAGTCCTGCACAGGCAGACACAGTCAGCTGCAGGCCCAGCTGTCACTCTGGAACCCCCTCCATCGTGCCCCTGAAAAGCAGCCTTCTCTCAAGACCTCTGGCTGCCTTGTCTGGAGCTGAAAGGAGGTCTCACCCCAGGAAGAAAGCACAAACAGGAAAGCTGGCAGGGCTGGAGAAACAGGAAACCTAATCATAAGGCTATATGGGGGCCCTGGACTCTGGGAGGAACAATTAGACTGTGCTCTAGAAGTCACAGTGGACTGAACCCCATGGCTCGGGCAGGGCATGTTTACACGGCAACATCCCATGTGCACTGAGCCCCGTTTGGAAGAGGTCAGAGGAGTATTTATAGAAACATCTGGGACTCACTTCTCTCTGTCTCTTTTGTCCTCCCCAAATTCCTGACCAAAATGAAATCATGCAACAAATTACGAGGAGTGAGGAAGGCAGAAGCAATTTTCTAAAGGGTGGGGGTTGGAGGGAACAAGGACAGAGGGGCTTCCGTAAAAAGCTTGGGGGACAGGAAGCTGATGCTATGGCCAGTTCCCTTCACCAAGGGTAGAATGGGAAAAATATCAGGACACATTGTAAGATAATCCTCCTCCTCTCCCACCCTCCCCCTGACAGATGGAAGAAAAGCAAGCTGTGGTCATCATTTACCTGCTGAAATTGGGAGGACGCTGTTGATGAAAGTACGCTGAGACACAATAAAGCGGAAGAAAAGCTGAAGATAAATTCCCAAAGTCATTGGATTCAGAGCAACCATGCTGGCGGGGATCTGGCAAGTGTCAAGTTTAGAGGAAGCTGCTCTGGGGCCTCGCTTAGCTTATGTCGGCTTTTGTCTTCCTTGCTGCTGTTTGCGTGCCTCTCTCTCTCAGTCTCTCTCCCTTTCTCTCTCTCTCTCCCTCTCCCTCTCTATCTCTCTTCCCTTTCCTCATGCCTTTACCAAGAAAGAATGCCAACCATTTCCCATTAAACCTTCTCCGTACTACACGGGGTTATATTTATCTCAAGCACTGGATCAAATGCCCACATTAAAATTAAGATGTCAGAATTTTCTTTTTTGGAGGCTGAGGTAAGTGGCTATTGAAGAGGTGATGAAAATGCAGCCAAGTCTGAAATGTTCACCAGGAGCCATCCTCAAGGGCAGATGGATCACTTCATTGATTCTCCATTATCTACTTGCCCTGAGCTGAGGTGTCCCATAGCATCGCAGAATCAACTCTCCTGATTCAAACTGATTTTCCATGGCAACCCCTCTGCAGTCAGCCTTGACATTTTTATCCACTGAGTGACAAAAGTTAAGTTGACCTTCAAAATAAATTTTTTTTAATCATCCTCTAAAAAGTAGGGGAGTTTATATTTTAAACAGTTTTCTTCATTTAAAAAAAAAGAAGTTCATCTCTCTCCAGAAGCTGCAAGCTTTTAATCCCATGTAAAACAAAATAAATGAAAACAGAAAATAGACAGAAAGTGAGCAGTTATTTATCAAACTGTATTTGGAGAAGTTGCATCACTGACTTGATTTTTGACTAGACAAAATTCTTCAAATAAAAATTATTGCATCTTTAAATGAATTTCTTTTATGATCTATTATAGAGATCTTTGGATTTCTAAAATAATTAAAATAATAATCCACAGAGTTGCTCATTTTGCTTAATATACACAACGTATGCCCAGTGTTTCCTGGGAGTTAATTCAGAAACAGTCTGGTAGCCACTGGACTCTGAGATGGGCCTCTTAGAAGAAGTGTGCTGATCCTCATTCTGGGGGGAGGTGGAATTGGCTGGAAGCTGTGCTAAGGCCTAGTACAAGGTGATACTATATGGCAAAGACTATGAGGATGGCTCAGGAACAGGCAATGCTTCATTCTGTTGTACCTGAGGTCGCTATGGATTGAAACTGACCCAATAGCACCTAATATAACACCAATGGCAACAGGTTACAGAGTTTATAAGGAAAATATTTGAAAGCATGAAGAATCTATTTGAGCTACATTAAAAATTAATAGAAGAGTCTCAAGGGACAATTTAGTCAATTGGTATAACATAGTTCACAAAGGTAGTGTGAACTATCTAATCCTACATAGGTGAGTAGTGTCTGGGGTCTTAAAAGCTTGCAAGCAGCCATTTAAGATATAACTATTGGTTTTTATTCATATGGAGAGAATGAAGATAATCAAAGGCTCAAAGAAGAAACTAGTTCACAGGACTAATAGCCAACATGAACTGCAGCCTTCTCTAACCTGAGACCAGAAGAATTAGAGTGTGCCTGGCTGCCACTACCAATCTTTCTGACCAGGGACATAACGGAAGGTCCCAGATAGAATGGGAGAAAAATGTAGAACAAAGATAAAATTCTTAAAAAAAGGCTAGACTTACCAGACATATACAGACTAGAAGAACCCCTGAGACTATTATCCTAAGATAACCTTTGAACATGTATTTGAACTATTTCAGTAGGTCAGCTTTCAGCCAAATAATAGATTGGCTTATAAAATAAACAATATCACCGGTGAGTAATGTGCTCAATGGGAACAATGAGAATGCTGATATACTATGAAAATTGTCACCATTGCCACAGAAAAATTTGTATAAAAATTTGTAAAAAAATTGTTAAATAGTTAAGGGGAAACCTAATTTGCTGTGTAAAATTTCACCAAAGACACAATAAAACATTTTTAAGAAAAATTAATAGGAGAGCAGGAGGAGCTATGATTGTTGGCTAAACCCAACCAAAATTCTCAGGTTTGCTCCTGTTAACTCTTGAAACAATAGCCCCAGCAGTGAACTTTTGATGGCTTGGAAAACATACAGTCCACCTAGGAGAAAAGTAACTCCTCAGCAACTTGGTGTCAGATTTTAAATCTTCACCATCTAGCTCAAATTCCACCTCTGTGAAGCCAGTGATTTCTTCCTTCTCTCAGCATGCAAGTTCACCAATGTGTGCTTGGCCCATATGATGTTAGCTATGTTCTGCCTAGGAGCTCTGGTAGTGTAGTGCTTAAGGCACTTGACTGCTACCTGGAAGGCTGGTTCAAATCCACCAGCCACTCCTCAAAAGAAAGATTGGGCAATCTACTTCCATAGTGATACCACCACAGAAACCCAAGGAGAGGATGCTGTGAGTTGGGTCTGACTCGATGACTCATGACAACAACAACAACAATGTGCTGCCTGCAACGCTTTCTGCTATTATTTTTGAACTGCTTCTAAACCACCTTGGATTGATATTTAACCTATGCTAAGATCCCTGGAGACTGGACATAGATCAGTATACCCCAGTGCCCCCAGGACAGTCCTTGTTACCTAACAAATCCTCAATAATGTTAGCTAATTTAATCAAATCATATCACCGTAGGATGAAAGGAAAAAGTAGAACGCATGGCATGACTTTATGCCCCAGCCACAGTGAGCAACTTACATTTTCTCAGCACCTCTCTGTGCCTTTGCACATACAGCTTCCTGATGAGGCCTGATACAAGAAAAGACTTTGGTGAGTATCATAAGAGAGTGACAGGAAATGTAGATGTCACCCTGAATTAGGACTTACACACAAAGAGGTGTATGTACACATTCAGACTACTAGGGGGTGAGTCACTGTTGACTTAAAGTTAGTATGGGAAACTCTACCCTTGGGGAGGCCCCAGGACGGAAGTATTTATAAGCTTCTGATACTTGGTGATACAAATGGTTAAGCACTGGGCTACTGAGTGTAAGGTCGACAGTTTCAACACACTCAGAGATGCCTTGGAACTGCTTCTGAAAAGTCACAGTCATGAAAACCATATGGAGTTCCCAAAAAAAAAAGGCTTGGCTCAGACAGTTTCACTGTCTAATTCTATCAAACATTCGAAGAAGAGCTTAGTATACCAATACTCCTCAAACTATTCCAGAACATAGAAAATGATGGAATACAACCAAACTCATTCTATGAAGCAAGGGTAACTCTGATACCAAAATCAGGGAAAGACATCACTAAAAAAAGGAAATATCCCTTATGAACACTGATGCAAAAATTGTAAACATAATACTAGTCAATAGAATCCAACAACACATCAGAAAAATAATATATCATGACCAAGAGGGATTCATATCAGGTGTGCAAGAATGGTTCAACTTGGAAAAAACAATCAATGTAATCCACCACATAAATAAAACAAAGGAAAATAACCACATGATCATATCAATTGATGCAGTAAAGATATTTAACAAAATCCAACACTCATCACTGATAAAAAATACTCAACAAAATAAGAATCTGAGGGAAATTCCTCAACATAATCAAAGGTATATACCCAAAACCAATGGCCAACCTTATTCTCAATGGAAGGAGACTGAAAAAATTCCCCTTGTGACAGGAAGCAGACAACGATGCCCTTTATCACCACTGCTGTTCAATATTGTATTGGAAGTCCCAAAACTAAAAAAACCAAACACACTGCCTTCAAATCAGATCCAACTCATAGTGACCCCTCCTTGGGTTTCCAAGGTGGTATCACTATGGAAGTAGATTGCCCAACCTTCATTAGAAGTCCCAGCCAGAGCAATAAATCAAGAAAGGGACATAAAAGGCATCCAAATTGGCAAAGAAGAAGTAAAACTATCTCTACTGGAAGATGACATGATCTTTTACATAGAAAATGCTGAAGATTCAACAAGAGAAATATTGAAACTAATAGACAGATTCACCAAAGTGGCAAATCAACATAAAAACTCCATTGGATTCCTCTACCCTAACAAAGAGAACTCTGAAAAGGAAAACAATACCATTTATAGTCACTCAAAAGTACTTAAGAATAAGTCTAGCTAAAGACACAGAAGACCTATACAAAGAAAAGTACAAAGCACTAATACAAGAAACCAAAAGAGATTTCATAAATGGAAGAATATACCACGCTCATGGATGGGAAGACTTAAGGTTGTGAAAATGACAATACTACTCAAAACAATCTACAGTTATAATCAGTCCAGATTTCCTCATCATTCCTTAAAAAGATGGAAAAACTAATCACCAACTTTATATGGAAAGGAAAGAGACCCTAGACAAGCAAAACCTTACTAAAGAAGAAGAAAAAAGTAGAAGGTCTCACAGTTCTTGATCCCAAAACCTACTGTACAGTCACAGTAGCCAAAATAGCCTGATATTGGTACAACAGATACATAGACCAACAGACAGAATTGAGAATCTAGAAGTAAATCCACCCACCTGAACAGGTGATCTTTGACAAAGACCATAAAGAGCATCAAAGAAAAAAATAAGGATCCTAACACATGGGATAAATACACTATCAAACATAATTTAAAATGTGCAAACAGCAAAAGATAAACTAGACCCCTGAAAATTAAACATTTATGTGCATCAAAAGATTTCACCAAAAGAGTAAAAAGAGAACCTACAGACTGGGTAAATATTTTTGGTAATTACATATCAGACAAAGCACTAATCTCTCAAGTTTATAGAAATCTTCAACACTTGAACAACAAAAAGACAAACAACTCCATTTAAACAAAACAGGCAGAGTACATGAATAGACACTTCACAAAAGAAGACATTCAGGCGACTAAGAAAGACATGAAGAAATACTTGTGATCATTAGCCTTAGAGAAATGCAAATCAAAACAACAACGAGATATCATCTCACTCTAATATTAATAGCAAAATTCAAAAACACAGAAAACAACAAAGCTAGTGAGGATATGGAGAGACTGGAACCCTTCACCACTGCTTAAACTCACTGGCGTGGATCATTTCTACTCATAGTGACCCCTCCTTGGGTTTCCGAGGAGGTTTCTCTATGAAAGTAGGTTGCCCAATCTTCTTTCTGAGGAGTGGCTGGTGGGTTTGAACCGCCAGCCTTCTGGT